GGGCTGGACTGTTTACATCAGTATCATTTCTCCTGGACTCTTCAGTAGCAGAGCTGATATTTAATAGTATGTTGTCTTGATTGTTTGTGACTTATGCTGATCCAGAAAAGCCATACTTAATGATGCTTTTGAGACTTTCAGACATACAACGTAGCTCAAAACACCACAAATAAGTCCAGAAGAACACATTAATAATTACCATTTAATAGATTAACTTGCTTATGTTGCTGAACATAGGATCTTCACTGAACTGTGTCTACTGCAAAGGTACTACCACAGTACTTTTCAAACTATCTTACAGTAAGCCTTCATGAGCTTTCAGAGTTTATACTAAAAAAATAAAATCTTTAGCCAGGAGTGGTAGCACACACACCCTTTTAATGCCAGTACTTGGGAGGCAGAGGCAGGGAATAATCTCTGAGTTTGAGGCCAGTCTGGTCTACAAAACAGAGTTCCAGGACAGTCAGAGAAACTTTGCCTCCCCCACCCCAAAAAGTATCTAAATTTAGATCCTTTATTTTCTAAAATCTATTTTGGGTAGAGTAATGCTGGGCACCTAATTTATTTGCTTTCTTGTCTAAAATGTTAGATAGCAGTAAACAATTACACAAGCGACCTCTCTTGAGCCCACCCCTTTCAGATGGTAAAGCTACACTGTATATGTGGGGGTGGCTGATCCCACTTAATCATCTTTCAAATGCTTACTCAACGTTGATCAGTTTTTAAGATTCAGACAAGGTGGCCTATGTCTGTTGCTCAGTTACTCCAAAAGCTGAGGTCGAAGAGTGCTTTAACCCATCTAAGTTAGCCTAGGCAGTATAATGATACCCTAGCTCTGTAATAAATAGTCAGTTGCTACCTGGGATTATGTATTAGTCTAAGCTCATCTAAAGCGGGACATTGTAGCTCAGTGGTAGGCTGTCTGCTCAGACTTTCTTAAACAACAGAAAATTCAAATACAAGCTAAAGTCTTATGTAATAAAAATAAAAATTATAAGCATTCTCCAAGAACTGTGGTTGCAGGGAACAGCCCACTAACTTTTGCAATTCTAACCCATCCTCTTAAAAAAATAAACCAGCCGTCTATGACAAATTCCTTTCCTAATTCTCGTAAGTTGAACAAATATGAAAGGGATGAAAACCCAAAACAGCGATGTCACGAAGCAGCAAGTGACTTGGCTCCCTTTTCTTCCCCGCCTTAAACCCATCACAAAGAAATACAAAAGCAAAGCTTTAAGCAGGTGAAATAAAGAATCTACTCCGAGAATTTCTTTTACTTTTCCATTACAACCATTATTTAAAAATGAGAGTTCACAGACCCCTTGGAGACTCCTGATGAGGAGTATCTGGTCCTCAAGTTTTCCAAATCCACATAACGAAGCCATTAGCTAGCAAAGCACACACAATAAAATGAAATTCTGATACCACAGATTTGACCTAGAATCAAGTTTCCTCCCTGCCATCCCAAGGCATCCTCTTCTTCCCACACTTCAGCATTAGACAAGAACACACAACCATTTTTACCTCTAAAATAACCAAATCCACATTTCCAAAGGCACAAATATGTCATTTGTTAAACACAAAAATCCAAAAAGCGGTATTACAGCTCAAAGACATACTTTGTGCAGTTAAAGCATTAAAAGCATCAGCCTTTATTTTGTGACAAGTTTATTGAACAGTATCCAAGACTTCTTCTTTATAAGTGAAAAACTGCTAAACGATGCCACAGTAGTAGGTGCTGGCATGGTGTGTCACACTGACAGCCTCTCGGCTGCACTGGTTTCTAAATTGGACTATAGAACTGCCAATAAAACAGCTGAAGGAAAAAATTTACACATGGCAATTGTGAGTGGGAAAAGTACTCAAAGTGATCACCACCAGAATCTCTTCCCAAAATGGACTTTTTACACATTCTTAACTCATTTTTCCAGTGCTTTTAAACTGAGTGCATTTTATTTTCACATACGTGTACAATCACAGATTCGTCAAAATGGAGATTGAGTAAGCTTTTGTGTTTCCTTTTTTTTTGTGCAAGGTGATCATTTTCACCCAAATTGGGTAAGCTTGCTTACATATATATATNTATATATACATACATACACACAAACTCCTATCATCAAACAGGTCAAGACCGATCTTAACTACACTGAGTATTACTATCAGTAAGTTTGACATTTCCTAATGCAGGAACTATATTTCACTGAACACTGTTGGATTTAAACAAAACCCAAAACAGCCACTAATAATTGTACATCCAAACTAGTATAATCACAAAAACACCTCCAAATTATGTTTATGAACTAAATCTGTCACTGAAGTTCAAGAAAATTTACAAATTTGCTTATTTATAAAATACATTTGTAGGTTTTGCTAATCCTTTAAAAGCAAAAGGAAAAAAAACAAACACCAATGGAACTTAGGAAAAAAAAACAAACCTAATGAAAAATATTCTCGTCCATTAATATCAAAGACACCAAAAACAGACAATAGAATTTACACGTGAATTGAGAATACCTGGGTAGTGTTTACAAACACTCTTTGAGCAGAGCTTTACAAAGCCTTCATGCCATACAAACGAAAAGATTATGTAAATTCAAGTCTATACCAAACCTAGTTCTGGAGAAAATTTGTCTGTCGAGAGGTATAAATAGTTTCATAAAACACATTTTCATAGTTATTAAAACAAAAACTGAAACCTCAATGCCCAGAACAAGATAAAACAATATACTTAGCAATTAGGTCTGTTAATAATCTCATAGATACAAAAACTGAAGTTCCAGAGGGCAGAGCATTTAATTACATTTCACAACAAGCACTGTTGTGACCCAAGCGAATGCAGAACACAGTTCTCTCTGATTTCTACACCAACACTATTTTCTTAATTTATTTAATGAACAGTGAGATTCAAGTTTTTCTTTTTAGCATTTATCTAAAATGTAGAAATAACAATAGGTGCAATTGAGTGTATGAAATATTTAATAAATGTGTAGGAATATACAACCAAAATAAATTGTGAGAAAGAATAAAAGATTGTCACCTTCCAACAACCAATTTTTCTAAAAGAAAGTCAGCTTTCCAATGGAAAATAACCAGGAGTTGAAATAAGATGCCCCAAGTAGTTCTGAAGTGTTCACATTCTGTCTTTGGAATGAGAAATGATTACTTAACAAAAAACATCACATATAAACATATTGCTTTTTGAGACAGTTATCTGTCGAATAAATTGTATCTGTGAGTTACTAAGTGATTCACAATGCAGCCACTTCTTTTCAAAGTCTGCATAATCCGTTCCCTAAACAAAAACTCCATACTATTGCCCTCCAAGACTACAGCAGTGAATAGGTTTTCCACACTATCACACAAGGGACTGTTGCCACTCATAACTCGAGAGTTAACGACGAAACTGTATTTCAGTGTTCCACTACCCTAGAACACCACAAAGGCACTACATATAGACATACATACATGTTTGTGTGTGGTATATGTATATGTATGTGTGTGTACATATACATATATGTATATACAAGAAATGTCTTTTCAAAAGCAAATGCAGACTTGTAAATAATGTTGATGTATTTCAAACCAAAGCAAGGTCTGTGAAAGATTTAATTTATTTTCAATGATTATTCTTTAATCTTCAATTCTGTATATTAATATAAAAGTTTTCAAGCATTTTAAATAAAGAAAAACCCCTAAAGAGCCTTAAGTGTCGATAAACAAGATGTAATGAACCAAATACTTTTATAAAAAGGACATTTAGCCAACCAAAGTCTATGTGATCCCCTACTTTGGTGCCCCGATTGCCAAAAGGAAAGAAAATGAAAACGCAAGGAGTCATCTCAGTTCTCTCCTCTGATAGCTGTACTCTGCATAAGAATATTTGTGAACAGGCTCGTGATCGAACAACTACACCAAAAGCTTCCAAGTTGACAGAATTAAGCACACACCAACCTACAGTCCACCTTAGGGATCTTACATTCTACAACACTAATAATGCTAACAAACTACCAACTTCAACTTCAGTTTTAAATTCCAAGATAGACTGCTCTTTCTTATGGACCCCTTTGTTCCAAATGTCACCTAAAATTGGGACAAAAGCAATTTGCTAAATTAGTCCATCACAATAAGGACTTCAAATCAAACACCTAAACACTGATTACTAAAAAAGTAGTTTCTGGTTTCCCTTACCATCCAAACAATATAAACAATTTTAAACTTACTAAACTAATAAAACTTAGCGGTCAAACCAAAAAAGGCCAGAAGAGGACTCCATAGTTTATTTTTATGGTAAAAGTCATTCCACACAATCATAAGTGTGACATTAGAAATCAAAGTTCAGGGTTATATAGCACAAACCAAGTGTGGAGTTTTTATATTAGAAATTAATTAAAAACCAACGAAGTAGCTGTACTCATTACAAGTGAGTCAATTAGGCAAATAGCGGCAACATCTGAAGCAGGACTATCTATACAGCAAGAACCCTCAAGAAGCAATAAAGGTACATACAATGAATCCAGATACAGAGACTTTATTCAATTTTAAAAGAAAATATAGGTTGTAGACAAAGCTTTGACCCTATAACAAAGCAAATATGTCTAACTTTAAATCAAATTGCAAAAGTAGCCAACTTCTAGTTGTCAGCAACTGGCAAGAGCACTACTCTTGTTTCTATCTTTTTCATCCCATGTGGTATAAAAGAAGCCAATCTAGATTCCTTGATAAGCTTTTAAGATCAACAAGTTTTAGAAATGGTTTCTACTGGTATGCCCTAATTATTTTTGGTGTTCCCTCCAGATAGCTTTACTGTAACAAACTGCAATGTTTATTCTGTGGGTTGTAAACAGCCAACCAATGCTCTGTGTTATAGAAACCAATCTATCTGCAATAGAAACAATCCACAGGTTCTAACCTGGAAATACTAGGAAAACAATCTGGATGCATTAATCACAGCAACATGAAGATATACCCTAAAGAACTGATGTGAACGGCTACCCTAAAACAAGCTTTACCTTTCTCGAACCTATAGGCCTATCATTTAAGTCAATGACGGCAGCAGTGGCTTCATCCCGCGATTCAAAGGCCACCATGGCTTCACCTGTAGGCATACCTTTTTCATTGTATTTTAAACATACTGAACCTGGGATTACCTGATAACCATAGAAGAAATCTAAAATTTCATCAATAGATACAGTAAAAGGCATGTTCTGCACCTTGATTATTGTAGGTCCTGGTTTTCCAGAGCTAGCTGCAAAGCCAGGGGGACCCCCAATATGTATTGGGCCAGGCCCAGGCCCAGGCCCAAATGCTGGAGGCCCACTCAAATGCCCAGGAACGTTTCCAAGACCAGGGGGTCCACTTCCAAAACCAGGAGGAGCACTTAAACTACCAGGGCCATTTCCAAAATTCTGAGGGATCCCCCCAAATCCTGACGGCCCACTTAAATTATTTGGTGCACCTCCAAAACCTGGAACTTCCAGTCCTAGGCCAGGCAAACCACTGTTTCCAACTGAAGGCATAACAGGCCTAACATCACCAAAGGCACCTCCTAATCCTGGAGGGGGAAGTGGTGGTCCAAAGGCATTCGGCCCACCAAAATTACCAGGGAAGTTAAATGGCGGCCCATTATTGGCCTCCTTCGATCCTACAGTCAAGAAGACATGCTCTTCTCCTCCTGCAGTGGGAATGCCAGCACCGGGCATAGCAGGACCAGGTATTGCGGCACCAGGCATTGCGGGACCGGGTATCGCGGGACCAGGCATTGCAGGACCAGGCATGGCGGGACCGGGTATTGCTGGTCCGGGTATTGCTGGACCGGGCATTGCGGGACCAGGTATTCCGGCACCAGGTATTCCAGCACCAGGTATTCCGGCACCAGGTATTCCGGCACCAGGTATTCCAGCTCTGGGCATCCCAGCACCAGGCATTCCAGCAGTGGGCATACCCGCATTAGGCATTCCAGCACCCGGCATTCCGGCACCAGGTATCCCAGCACCGGGTATTCCAGCAGCAGGCATCCCTGTACTAGGCATCACTGGTACTGGAGGATTACCTGGAACAGGAATCTTTAAGCCCTTTTTTCCTTGGGCTGGGGGATTTTTCTCAATCTCTCGCATATCTTCTAGGGTAACTATATGAACAAAAGCTTCTCTCCCATTCAGTTTTTTACGGTGTAAGTGTTCAGATTTACGAGCATCATCTTCAGTTTTAAACTGAACCAGTGCTTGCCCTAGACCTTGCCCATTATTATCAACAAGAACATGTACAGCATTCTCATCCACTGGGATTCCTTCTAGGAACTGAAGAACGTCCATCTTGGTAATGCTGAATGGAATGTTTGTTATATGGGCACAGACTTTGGCAGAACTGACATCCCCCTCTGGATTTAACACTATTTCCCTCTGGTCATAGCTGAAGTTCTGAAGTCGTTTTCGAATCATATCTATCTTTTCTAGCATACCTTTCTTAGTAATTGGATGAACTTGGATAAAGCGATTGCCCATGTATTGTTTATGACGGCACAGTGCAGCCTTATAGTCAGCATCATTCCTGAATTCTACAAAGCCTTCACCAGTTGCTTTCCCATTGGGTCCATAAGCTATATAAATACTATCTTCCACAATATCCAACTTCTTAAAAAAATCAATGACATGTTTGTTTTCGGCTTCAAATGGTAGCCCTTTTAAGTAAACACAAAAACCAGCCTCATGTGGTGATCTTGACCGTGACCTTTTCTGCCCACTGGGCGATTTTGACCTTGGAAGTGTCTGTGGAGGGGGATGGGCTTGTCCAGAAGACCCCATACTTTGTTTAAAAGTGATATGACCTCCAGCAGCTACCCACTGTCTCTCTGTGGCAGGACTGACTTCCACATAGCGTTGAATCATCAGCATTCTGTTCCGTTTCAAAGCTTCAAATGTATCTTGAGGTGAGAGAAACTTAACCAATCCATTCCCATTATTTCGACCTACGTGATCTTTTAACAAATGTACTGCATCAACTCGAAGCCCGTGGAAAAACTCTCTGACATCATTTTCCATTGCAGAAAAGGGCATTCCATGCACACTGACATACAAATCATCAGGGTTGATGGGAAGTGACTTCACGTTGCTTTGAGAGTTCATCTGGATAGGGTTAACAGGATTTAATGGACCCAGAAACACAGGGTTCAGATTATTGTTCAGACTCATAGGTGCTCCAGAGCCATTCATTCCAGCAGGTAGAGGTGCCACAGGTGGTGGATTCAAGGGTGGCATGCCTGACATGGGTGGCAATGGGTTAATAGGTGGCACCGAAGGGACTGGGGGAATGGGAGGCACTGGAGGCACAGGAGGCAATGTTGGTACTGGAGGAGGAACTGGTATTGGGGGAATGGATGGCAGCGGTGGCAAAGATGGCATCGCTGGAATTGGAGGAATTGGTGGTGGTGGGACCGTTTTCATTGGAGAAGCTGTACTCGGAATGGTTGAGCTGAATGTTGGACTCCCAAACGAAGTCCCCATACTTGGAGGAGCAGTTCCTACGCTGGCTGTGGAAAATGTCTGTATGTTTTTGCTGCTCTCATGAACAGAAGTGGTAGCAGTAACTACACTTGGCGAAGGATTATTAAAGTTGGGTGCTGTTGCTGGCAAGTTTACCCTGCTGCTCATCCCTGAGCTAGGTGGTGGTCCTGATCTACTAGCATTTGCTGGTGGTATATCTAAGTTGGCAGTTTCAAAACGCCTACGACTCAGTTCAATCATATTCTGCATTTCTGTTTTACTACTCAATAACAGTGTTACTTTTGACCCTTTAATTGCACCACCTGTGCGCATCATACCAAGCCTTGCATCTTCATCAGTGGCAAAAACGATGAAAGCCTCACCCAGTTCACCCCCTACAATATGCACGCCCCCATCAGGGATGGTCAATCCAGAGAAGAAGTGGCGAATGTCCATGGTCCCCGCCACAATTGGGAGACCTTGCAAGCGGATGACCACAGCCATGCTGCGCTGAAACCACACACACCTGCAGATGAGAAAAGGCAACGGCCATGTCAGACTCCTTTTTATTATACCAAGTTTTTAGGTGCAAGAATGACCAGCTACCATATTATCCCACAAACATTCCCTCAAGCTATCACAATGTCTTTAATTTAAATCATCGAAAGATCTGAACAACTGCAATAAAGAGGTTCAGCCCAAGACTCAAAAGATTCAAGAAAAACTATAGGATAATGTCACCATAAACATTATTCAGAGCACTAAACTTTCAGTGAGATTTAGAAGAAATGCATAAAAATCTATAGGGGGGAATCATACAAAGGATGCATCAAAAATTAATACTTAAAACTGATTTAGCCTCTTCCTTTAAAACATTACCATTTCATAGTTATAAGAGTGATTCTTTATAAAGCTCAATCTCAAAACCCAAAAGAAACAGAAAACTGGAATGTTCCTGAATTACAAACACCTAACAATAAAGTAGGTTCACATCTCAAATGAAAGACATATCTCAAATGTGAAAAGCATTCACAAGGACTTGAGTTCAATCCTTAGCACCAGAAATCACCAATGATAACAGATTCCATATTTCGTAGCAAAACACTGAATTTGTTTTATAGTTTTATTAAAACAAAGAACTATCTGGGGTTGCAGAGATTATTCAGTAAGTAAGAGAGCACTTTCTGTATGTACAATTCTAAGAACATGAGTTCTAGCCCGGCATCCACAAAGTGTGGCTTTATACATTTGAAACTGCCTAGAATCCCCAACTGTCAGTCTAGTTCCAGGTATAGTAAGAGATATCTATCAAAAGAATAAGGCAGGGGTTGGAGAGATGGCTCAGAGGTTAAGAGCATTGCCTGCTCTTCCAAAGGTCCTGAGTTCAATTCCCAGCAACCACATGGTGGCTCACAACCATCTGTAATGGGGTCTGGTGCCCTCTTCTGGCCTGCAGGCATACAGACAGAACATTGTATACATAATAAATAAATAAATATTAAAAAAAAGGCAAAGAACAATGGAGTACCTGACATCATCTTTCAGCAATTACCTGTACATACAGGCTTATTTATGTGCACATGTGTACACGCACATGTGTGCATGAATGCACAAACACTCTCTATCTGAATTTACTATAAGCAAAGTTAATACATATTAAGAATCCAAAGAAATACTAAATATAATAGCAAAAATCTGAGTTAACCTGTATTTATTACCCTAAAGTGGAACCTATCACACCATTATTCACCATGGCTATTTAACCAAATCTCAGGTCCAGTGAGTGATTCTACCAAATTTTGCATTGAACAACAACTTTAAAGCCAGGCAGTGGTGGCATACACCTTTAATCCTAGCACTCGGAAGGCAGAAGCAGGAGGACCTCTGTGAGTTTGAAGCTAATTTGAGTCTACAGAGTGAGGTCCAGGACTGGCTCCATAGCTACTAAGAAACCCTGTCTAGAAAAACCAAAAAAAAAAACTTTAAAAACAAACAAACAAACACCTAGGGCCAGACAGATGGATCTGCCTTTAATCCCAGCACTTGAGAGGTAGATTTCCGTGGGATTGAAGCCATTCTGCTCTACATAAGAGTTTCAGGGGCTGGAGAGATGGCTCAGTGGTTAAGAGCATTGCCTGCTCCTCCAAAGGTCCTGAGTTCAATTCCCAGCAACCACATGGTGGCTCACAACCATCTATAATGAGATCTGGTGCCCTCTTCTAGCATACAAACATACATGGAAAGAATGTTGTATACATAATAAATAAATAAATCTTTAAAAAAAAAAAAGTTTCAGGCCAGTGAGGGCTTCATAGTGAGATTCAGTTTCAAAGAAACAAACAAAATAGATCAGTTGGTAGAATGTTTGCCTAGCACTCATAAAGTTCTGGGATCCATCCCCAATTCCCCAAATGCTCAGTATGGTGGTGGATGCAAATTATCCCAGTACTTGAGAGGTTGAGGCAGGAGGATCTTGAATCCCAGAGCAGTATCATAGATTACATATTAATGTACAATTCACGATTAGGGCCTCTGACCCAACTTAACAACTCCTGTTGAATCTCTTGTTGCTCACTGATCTCCTAGCAAAACTTGACTCAAAAAAATAAATAAGCCGAGCGGTGGTGGCGCATGCCTTTAATCCCAGCATTTGGGAGGCAGAGGCAGGCGGATCTCTGTGAGTTCGAGACCAGCCTGGTCTACAAGAGCTAGTTCCAGGACAGGCTCCAAAACCACAGAGAAACCCTGTCTCGAAAAACCAATAAATGAATTAATGAATGAATGAATGAATGAATGAATACATAAAAGGAGGATAGGGAAGGGGCTTGGTGAGATGGTTCAGCTTGCTGCCAATACTGAAGACTTGAGTTCCATCCCCAGGAGATGAATTAAGGGAGAGAATCAACTTAGACACACACACACACAAGTAAATAATTGTAAAATAATAATTATGAGGTTCAGCTGGAGAAATGGATCAGCAGTTAAGAGTGTTCACTGCTCTTACTGAGAAACTGAGGCCCAGCACCCTCACAGTAGCTCACAACCACCTCTAACTTGGTTCCAGGAGATCTGATCCTTGCTTCTGTCTTCCATGAGCACCAGGAACATGCGTTACACATATATACATAACAAAATGTTTACATACATAAAGTAATTCTTTAATAATAGTAATAGGGCAGCACTTGGGAGGCAGAGGCAAGCGGATATCTGTAAATCTGAGGCCAGCTTGGTCTACAGTGAGTTCCAGGACAGTCAGAGCTAAATAGTGAGATACCATAGCCAAAAAAAAAAAAAAAAAAAAAAAAGTAGTGTAGCAACAATATGGGCTGGAAATGTAGCTTAGTTGGTAGAGTGATTGCTTGGCATCCATGAGGATTTTGGTTCAGTCCCATCACCTCATTAACTAGGTACTGAGTATGGAGGCATATACCTGCAATCCTAGCATGGGAGAGTTAGTCACAAGAGGATCAGTCTAAAGTCATACTTGACTACTTGGCTACACAGCCAATTTAAGGTCAGCCTGAGCTACATGAAACCGCTTCAAAATAATAAGGGGACTGGAGAGATGGTTCGGTGATAAAGATCACGTGTTCCTATAAAGGACCCATGTTGAGGCAGAGGCAGGCAGATCTCTGTGAGTTCGAGACCAGCCTGGTCTACAGAGCTAGTGCCAGGACAGAAAACCAAAAAAAAAAAAAAGGACCCATGTTTAATTCCCAGCATCTATGTAGTATAGTAGCTCACAAACACATAGTTCAGGGGTTTCAACTCCTTCTTCTGTCCTTGCTAGGTGCATACACATACACGTAGGCAACCATTCATACACATGAAATAAAAATAAAATTTTAAAATAGGGGTAGAAAGATAGCTGAGCAGCTCAAACTGCTCTTCTAAGGAACCAGAGTTCAGTTCCAAGGAGGAATACAGCTGCTTTTTAACTTCAGCCACAGGGGCTCTCATTCATCTGGCTTGCACAAGTACCTGCACTCATGTGTACAAAGACATACGTAATTTAAATCTTTTTAAAAATTTTTTTATTTTGGGGGCTGTAGAGATGGCTCAGTGGTTAAGAGCATTGCCTGCTCTTCCAGAGGTCCTGAGTTCAATTCCCGGCAACCACATGGTGGCTCACAACCATCTGTAATGAGGTCTGGTGCCCTCTTCNAGGTCCTGAGTTCAATTCCCGGCAACCACATGGTGGCTCACAACCATCTGTAATGAGGTCTGGTGCCCTCTTCTGGCCTGCAGACGTACACACAGACAGAATATTGTATGCATAATAAATAAATATTTTAAAATTTTTATTTTTTAAATAAAAGTTTCACCCAAGTTTTAATCTGGTATCAAAACTTTCAAATATTTATTTGGTGTAGGAGGTTCTTCTGTCTATGTGTTGCTTTCATTGGTTGAATAAAGAAACTGCCTTGGCCTTTTGATAGGGCAGCCCTTAGATAGGCAAGTAGACAGATGTGAATGAATGCTGGGAAGAAGAACAGACAATGAGACGCCATGAAGCTCCTGCCTGGGACTGACGCTTGTTGTAATCTTTCCCGGTAAGCGACAACTTCATGGTGTTATACAGATTATTAGAAATGGGTTGAATCAAGATGTGAGTTAGCCAATAAGAGGCTAAAACTAATGGTCCAGGCAGTGTTTAAATGAATAGTTTCTGTGTGATTATTTCAGATGTAAGCTAGCGGTGGGGCCTAGGACCAAAAGCAGGCCCTCTTTCCATTCAACATTTATTGACTGATTGTTCCTGTTGCCATTGTGGTACATTGTGAAATGCATTAGCATTTCAATATTTTGGTTTTTTTAGTTGTTTTGTTTTTCAAGACAGGGTTTCTCTGTGTAGCTTTGGGAGCTCTCCTGGAACTCACTCTGTAGATCAGGCTGGCTTCAAACTCACAGAGCCGCCTGTCTCTGCCTCTAGAATGTTGGGATTAAAGGCATGTGCCACTACCGCCTGGCTGCATTTAAGTTTTAATGTTTTCTACTTTAGTAAAAGAATAGGAATCAAAATTTGGGGATTAGAAAAATGATAATTTGAAACTAATGTGATCAATCATGTTTTAAATATAATCCTATTAAACTGGTTCTGAGACCTCAGGCAAATTTTAATTGTATGAGACCTAGTTTAATTACTTATCATGTAAGAACATTAGAAAGGACAAGGTTGCCTGCTATAAGTTCTAAGGCTTATGCAAACCAATGGAAGGAATTCTTCAATGTACAAACCCTAATTAATGTAATAAAATCTAATTAAATCACAATATTATAATTACTATACAAAATAGAAATATATTCTTTGGTTTTGATAGGTTTTTTTCCTATTTGTTTCTACACACACACACACACACACACACACACACACACTCACACACTCACTCACTCACTTATCTTCTCTGTTTACTTTGAGACATGGTCTTATTAAGTAGCCTCAGAAAACCTGGAACTCCATAAGGAGACCAGCTGTCCTCCATCTCACAGAGATCCACCTGCCTCTGCCTCTACCTCCTAGGTGCTGGGATCAAAAGGTATACCATCATTCCTGGTTATATGTTCTATTTTAAAACTTTTTGAACAACCAAAACCACAAAAATCCACCTCACTGTATACTATTATCTGAAGAAATTTCAAAACTCAAACAAACATAATCAAACAGGATATTTAAAATCACATTCTATTTGTAGACTGTTAAGAGTCACTGACCTTTGCATCTTAGGACACAAGCAGAACCAACACAATGAAATGATGACAAATTCTGCCTGTTAACTTCTTACTGGTTTGTCTCGCCTCTCGTCTCTTTGACTACGCAAGTATGACTTCCTTTTTTGAGATAGGGTCTCTTACACTGGCTGTATAAACAGATGACCCTGAACTTCTGGATGCTCCTACCTTCATCTCCTCAGTGCTGGGATGTGCTACCTAATACCCAGTTTAAGTGATACTGGGAATTTAGCCAAGTTGTGCTTGCTAAGCAAATACTTCACCAAACTGACTTATTCCCCTAGTTCTCACACAATTATACAAAGATAAAAAGCAATCTTCAAATTTAATCAAGAATGATAGACTAGCGGAGAGAAAATATTCTATGAGACCATCATAAAGCACTGAAAACGGGTGTGGTGAATAAAGCTTTTCGGGTATGGACCTCAAGAGTTAACAAGAGGGCTGGTAAGATGGCTCAGGTAGGAAAAACCTGAGTTTAATCCCTGGGATCTACATGGTAGAAAGGGACAACTGACTCCGGCAAGTTGTCCTATGACTTCCCCATATGTGTCACTGCAAGCACCAACACACGCAAGCACACATACAACTAAAAAAGAAATAAATATCACCAACAGACTTTCTCGATTATCTATTTAGTAGGTAATATGAAAGTTTATCAGGCCATTTCCAAATAACTGAGACAAGTTTACATTTCTTACTGAGTATGAAACTTTTTTTGTTTTTTTTTGTTTGTTTGTTTTTCGAGACAGGGTTTCTCTAGGTTTTGGAGCCTGTCCTGGAACTAGCTCTTGTAGACCAGGCTGGTCTCGAACTCACAGAGATCCGCCTGCCTCTGCCTCCCGAGTGCTGGGATTAAAGGCGTGCGCCACCACCGCCCGGCTTGAGTATGAAACATTTAAGTGCAAATTGTGATGGGACTCTGTTTAATTTCAAAATAAAATGTTCTACCACTTTCTAAGGGGAAAACATCATACAGAAGTCAGGTATTCAAAACCTGAGAAACAGATACTTTAGTCTGCAATTAAACAATAAGATGAGAACTTTAAATAGTCCCAAGAACGCAGATTAAACACAAGCCTAAATGACATTCACAGTAAATTTTTAAGCCATATTAAGAGATTAATTAAGTCTTCGGTACAATGCATCCACAAAAACATTTCAATTATTAATAACCTGCCTTAAATCGCCAGCTGGAAAAGGGGCTGGAGAATCAAACCAAGCAGAGCACAAGACTTGCTCCTAAAGCTATCTGACAAGAAAACATTGTTAGGTTTTGAAAAGCATGAAAGGGCATCTGCTACTCTGCTACTAAGTATCTGCATGATAGGAAACCTTAACCTGAACTTGAGTCTCGCTTGTTCCCTTCAACAAAAAGTTAAATTCAATTGCTAAGGTTTAAAATTCATACTCTGTAAACTATCACCTAACATCTATACCTGTATTTCTAGGGAATATTAATAACCATACCAAGAAGCACTGTATTTACCATCCATCTATAATGCTTCGGAGGAGGGCACGAAGCTTACTGTCTAGTAATAAGAAATGCATCCATGTAAATAAAACAGACTCTCAGAGGAAACAAATACTCATTCTACCCTCTCCCCCAGATATGCTTCTAAGTAAACACACATACACATACAAACACACAGGTTACTACATCTTCTTTCTTATTTCTTGATAAGATATCTCATTTTATTTTGTATAAAAATAAGCCTATTCAAAATCTCTTACCTTGTAAAACAAGAGATGTATTTTCTTAAGAAGTAGAGGCCAAGTCAATCCTGTGGGCAACCAATTAAAACCAACTTTTAGACTGCAATAGAGAATAAATGGAGGCAAAAATCAATGCAGGAAACAAAACACGCACAGGCCACACTGAACTGTACATTATGAAAGAGAGTTAAGTATGAAACCAGCGGAGTACTGCATAAGAATGTATAGGTTTTTTTTTTTTTTTAAAGAAAAGAGATACCAGCCGGGCGATGGTGGCGCACACCTTTAATCCCAGCACTCGGAAGGCAGAGGCAGGCGGATCTCTGTGAGTTTGAGACCAGCCTGGTCTACAAGAGCTAGTTCCAGGACAGGCTCCAAAACCATAGAGAAACCCTGTCTCAAAAAAAAAAAAAAAAAAAAAAAAAAACAAAAAAAAAAAAAAAAAAAAAAAAAAAAAAAAAAGAGATACCAAAGACCCACACATGTTTAACGTGATACTGCTTTCAAGTCTGAGAACCATTCTATCAAGACTATGCCATCAGGTATTTATATAAAGAATATGCCATATAGCCAAAAAAAATAAATATAAAAATAGTACTAAAGCTCAGCTTCGAATGGTAATTGCTTTTTGATCACTTAATGTTTATAATTCAGAAAATTCCATAAGTCTATTAATATATTCAACCTCAACTTATTTTCCTAAGTTTTCATCAAACGGCTAATGAAAAAGCACAAATTTACATAGAGCAATTCCTGGACAAACTGTCAGCAGGTCGGGGATACTCACAGAAACCACAGCAATTACTCTTTCAAATGTATTACCTTTGCATCAAAATATCACAGATCACAATACAACTGAAATACAAGTTCTGTCTCTGAGCACTGATTTCACTATATTCAACACATGAGATTTCTTTCAAAATAATTCCAAAAAAGCTTGTTTAAAAAAAACTATCTAAAGCATATCTGTAACCTCAGCATCAGGAGGCAGGACTAAAACACTAATTCTGAGACTAACCTGGGCTACATACTGAGTTCTAAGAGCAACCTAAGCCAACAGCAACTCCGTCTCAAAAATATTTCTCCAGCAAATGTCATAGTATATAGTAATACAATAATATTTTCCAAAACACAGACAGGGTAGAAGGGTACTTATCTTTCAGAATAATTTCTTCCAAACTAGTGAAGCTATTAACAATTCACAAGCAATACATACAACCAATTGACTGTATTTTTTTAATTCAATGATTTATGTGTATGGCTGTACTTATGTATTTATGTATGTGCACCATGTGCACGCCTGGCACCTAGAGGCCAGAAGAGGGCTTCAGGTTCTGAGACTGGTGCTACATACAGCTGTAAGCCGCTATTTGGGTGCTGGAAATCAAACCCAGATCCTCTAGAAGAGGAGCCAGGGCTGAGCCCTCTCTTCGGCCCCCTAATTATATTTAAAAGATCATTTAAAAATATATTTTAATTAATCTTTTTTGGAGGGGAGAGGGTGAAAGCAGTCCTCAACTGAATAAAACCTAATATATTTTAGGCAAGCCCTCTACCCTGAGCTCTATCCTCAGTTCAACGTTTTATTTCAAATTTCTCAATTTACTGTATGTAAGTATGCATGTAATGTGTGTGCACATGTGTGCATGCCACAGAATGCATGTGAAAATTACACAACTCTGAAAATTGGTTCTCACCTTCTACCTTGTGGGTCCCAGGTCTGGAACTCAGATTATCAGGCTTGGATATAAGTTGAGTCATCTTATCAGCCCTATTATTTTATTTTACTTTTTAAAATCAGGCTGGTGATCCTTCTGGCTCAAATACACTAATTGTTCATTTTGTTTTGGAAACAAGTCTCAGTTACTTCAACCTAGTCTCAAACTCAGTAAGTAGCTGATCCTCCTGTCTCAAGTGCTAGATTACAGGTATGTGCCACAAAGACCCACTGAAAGTTTGTTTTGGGGAAAGGTCTCACCCTGTAGTCCATGCTGGAATTATAAAGCACCATTTTTTAAAATAGTGATTTAAAAAAATCTGCTGGGCGGTGGTGGTGCACACCTTTAATCCCAGCACTTGGGAGGCAGAGGCAAGTGGATCTCCTGGTTCTAGGCCAGCCTGGTCTACAGAGTGAGTTAGTTCCAGGACAGCCAGGGCTACACAGAGAAACCCTGTTTGGGGGATGTCAGAAGATCTTGGGTTTCAGTACTTGCCTTCCACCTTGAGAAATGGCTTTTTTTTTCCAGCTGTAATACTTCAGGCTAGCTGGTCCGTGAACTTCCCAGGACTGTCTCTACCACCCATCTCCCCATAGGAGCACTGCAGTGACAGATGACACTACCTCTTTTCTCTTTACATGAACTCTAGGGTCCTCATGCTTCCAGATTTATACACTGAACCACAGTTTCAAAGAGCCATCTTTAACTTCAGAAAATAAGAAAACCCTACCCACTCTCTCATACTAAGATTACCAACAAAACTACTTATCTGAATGATACTGCTAAATTATTTGAGAACAAGTAAGCCATAGTAGTAATTTTTATCACCAAAAATAAAACAAATTAAAAAAAATTGGGGGGGGGTTGGACACAGGGTTTCTCTGTGTAGCTGTGGAGCATGTCCTGGAACTCGCTCTGTAGACTAGGATGGCCTCAGAGATCCACCTGTCTCTGCTCACAGAGTGCTAGGATCCTGAGTTCAAAGCCAGCATAGACTGCATAGGAAATTTAAGTCCAGCACGATATAATGAGAATCCTGTCTCAAAAAAAAAAGGGGGGGGGGTAGGAACAAAACACAAGGTATGGGCCTGGGGCATATCTTCCACATAGTAGGGAACTGAGGTTTCTAATGGTTTTTTGTTCCCTTTCAGACATCCCATGTTTACCCAGAGAAGGATAAATTTAGGTCAGCCAGCTACACCCAAAGCGAAAGCCCTATATCTACAAGGTTCCAAGAATTTAATAAGGAAAATTCTTATTACATCAAGAAATGTTGAAAGCCCATCTGATCTCAGCAAATGTGTAGTTCAATTTGTGTAATCCAAATTCCACACTATCGGAAGCATCCCTATACCAAGGAGAATTATACACATCAGGGCTTTTGGTTTTTTTTCAGTCCTGGAACTCACAGAGATCCGCCTGCCTCTGCCTCCCGATTGCTGGGATGAAAGGTGTGTGTCACACCGCCCACACATCAGGGCTAAGTAACAAACTGCAGAACCTTTTTTAATCACAGCTTGTCCTTCACAAGTAAGGCGACAGGAAACTGGAAACTGAAAACTGCGGCACTTTTGTTTCAACTCACTTTGTAAAGACCAGTTATTTTTATCAGTTCAAAAAACTATTTCTATTATTTTATGTGTATAGACATACCTACATCACATGCACAAAATACTGGCAGAGGCCAGAAGAGGATGCCATATCCTCTGGAACTGGTGGTACATATGGCTCTGGGCTACCATTTAAGTTCTGGGAATTGACCCTGGTCTTCTGGAAATATCTCTGAACTATCTCTCCAGCCTGAAGACCACAAACAACAGAGGTAGCACTGTTTTCTAAAAGTCTGCTTATTCCTATGTGCTAAAATGTCAGCTAGTACCTAATTGAACACAAGATCCGAAACTAAAAAAAAACTTTTCCCACTCACCCGAAGCTCTGGTAAACTTTGGAAGCACATGAATAAAAAAATTTTATGCAAAAAAAAGTATTAGACCATATGTGGCGGTATGTGCCTTTGATCCCAAAGCTCGAAGACAGAGCCAGGTAGATGTCTAGCGTTCAAAGCCAGCCTTGTCTATAGAAGTTGTTCCAGGACAGCCAGGGCTACACAGTGTGACCCTGTCTCAAAAAAGAAAAAAAAAAAAAAAGGTATCGTAGCTAGACAATGTACATATGCAATGTTAGCAATGTTAGCACTTAGGAGGTGGAAAAGACTGAGAGTTTGAGGTTGGTCTGGACTACACAGAGGGACTCTTATAAATATACACATTTTTATATACATATAAAGTATAGGGACAGGCCAAAAGAAAAATGACCCCAGTTTGCCAATGATTCGCTGACATAGTTTAAAAGACCTAAAACAAGCTTGTTTAGTGTATTTTTCACTTCATTTCCTAACAGATGTTGCTTCAATACAGCAGATACCAGATACAAACATAAATATAAGCATTTGCATATTAAGACAAGATAAACCTTTTTTTTTTTTTCCTGAGAAAGGTTTCTCTGTAGCTTTGGTACCTGTCCTGGAACTAGCTCTTGTAGACCAGGCTGGCCTCAAACTCACAGTTATCCACCTGCTTCTGCCTCCCAAGGGCTGGGATTAAAGACTTGTGCCATCACTGCCCGGCTTGACGAAATAAACTTTATTTACCAACTATGCCAATTATTTGAAACTTCAAGGTAAAATGTCCATCAACAAACCTTTCCGTTACTAAGATATAAACTAAAAGTTTATAAAGGTACAATACACTAAAACTACAGCTTTTCCACTTTTCATCAGGCATCACTCTTCACAGGAATCAGGGTAAAGCAGAGCTACATGCTTAAGATCCAAAAGAAAGAAAAATCCCAATAACCCCTGAATTATTCACCTCAGAGACCAGCAACAAAGTTTCTATTACAACGGGCACAATGTTATCATAGACACCATGAAACCACACTTCATCCCCTGGAGTTTGTCCCCATCACCAAATAAAACACACTGTAGATCCTGGGACCATTCTTACTAATATAATTTTCTGACACTGATAAAAATGTATAATACTAAATTTTCACATGAATGTCCTTTCTAGTACTCAGAGGCAGTAAATCAAGACATTTGAAATAAGATGCCCCTCCTACCAGAAAGATTTTAATATTGTTATTATTGATACCAACAAAAAATGTCCTTTTTAATTCATTTATATTTCAAAACAAAAATATTGCTTCTAGCCTAACTAACTACATCTACTTTCACTGTGACTTTAAACCTAAAATTCAGCAAACCAAAGGATACACAGGTGGTTGGTAGTGAAACCGCTAGAACTACAAGTCAAATTCTTTTCTCTGTGTAGTCTCTAACCTAAGACTTTAAGCAAGCATTCATTTTTATGAGTTTTATTCATTAAGAATAATTAAGTAGACTAGGCCTGGTGAGACCAAACAGGCTGCTTTTCCAGAGGACCTACGTTCAATTCCCAGCAACCATCTATAACTCCAGTTCCATGGGATCTGACACGAGCTCTTATAGCCTGAGTTCAGCAGGCATGAACATGAAACGTAAGACATACATGTAGGCAAAACACCCATACAATTAAAAACTAAAAGTATGCAATGAGTTAGATTTTAAACTGGACACTGCATTTTTTGGGAGAGATATCAAAAAGTATACATTGTGCAATCAATTACTAACAACATTTTCAGAAGAAAGCATTTACTCAAACTAAATATTGCCAGCCAACTACTATCCCAGTGAATCCAGACGCTTAATAGTTCAATGTCAGACTAAGCTACCTAACAAGATTCTATCTGCAATGAGGAACAAACAAAAAACAATCAAATTTCCACAAACCAAACAGTGGCGTGGCTTTCTGCAAACCAGAGTAAGACTATATCAATGCTGGCACTGGATTCTAGTATCTGACCCACGGTATAATGCACAAGTATAAAAGTGAAGTTTTATACCTAAAAATAGTACCAAGAAGTCCAAAACTTTCAATATGCAGTCGATCAAAACATTCAACATGTCACAAAAGAGTAAAAGAGGCCTGGAGTGTATTGCTAATAGCCTAGAACAATAACCAGTGGTTTCTAAAGCATCACATATTCACCTGACGAATTTGAACATAAAATTGAAATTATGCATTACAACCCAGAGTGACCAACATTTAATCAAGTATAAGGTGATATAAAAATGCAACACATTTTGATAAACTACCCAATACACACTAAGCCTTGTGAACTCACCTAAACACAAACATTTCCTTCAAAAATTGCATTAAGATAGTTATGTGAACAGTTGTTCTTCCAACTTTTAATATCCTTAGAAAGATGTCCAGACACAACCACTTTCCACCAAATCCAAAAGTCTCCATCTCGACAAGTTACAAATTTCAAAAACAAGTACATCAGTTTTATATTTCTATTAATTTTAATAAATATTTTCGTAGAATTTTTCCAACTGCAAATGCTCTTTAACACTTGCAGTATACGCTGGTTACCAAGGTCTCGAACATTTTTTATTTTTTAAGACTGAGGTTCACCAAAAATTACATTTCACACTTATCCACGAAGCCTGAAGAAAATCCACTCAATCTCTCCCTTCAGTTGCCATCCTAGTTTTTCCCGCCATGTTATGAAGACTGGCACCAACTTAATCTTAAAGACCATAAGACAATTCCTGCCAACTGCACACAGTCATCTGCGACTCTAGGCGTCAAGAAGGCTTTAGGACCCAGAATGCTGCAACACAGCCTGGAATTCCCTACATACACTTTCTACCAGAATGAAAGAGTCTTTTGCACTGATTAACCCTGAGTAGACCACACGGGAGGCCTTCAAACTTTTCACTATAAAATGCACACACGAGCCCACTCGCTTACCAACGGGCAACCAAACCCGCTACCTTACTCTATCCCTCCCCCATCACTAACCTGCACCTCCTAAAAGGCCTTCCCCACCTATTTCACGCGGCTGCAAACTAGCGCCACCAACCTTCCACCAACCTTCCGACAGCTAAGGCAGCCACCCTCCCTCCTCCCTGTGGCTCCTCCCCAAAGGTGCAGGGAAGGTGCAGCAGGTAACAGCCCCTTCCCTATTTGGGGAACCAAGGACCTGCCATGCTTGCTACAACTCTTATGGCTTCCTCACCTCCTCCTTAGCTACAGGGCGGCTCCAGAATCCCCTACACTCCCTAGGAGGCCCCTCCTCCGCGCTAGACGTAGAAAGCACTTCTACTTCGAAGCAAGCCCCTGCACCTTCAAGTCCTGAAGGTGACCGGTTCCCGGCCTTCCAGGAGAGCTTCCCCCCTAGGTGACCCTAACATAGTTCCCTTTTGCTGGCCGTAGGCCACTGAAACCTCTTTACTTCGGGGCAGAGGTGGGAGTTAAAACCTCGGCTCCGTTTGAAGCCCAGGAAACCTTCCCCATCCTGCGTGCAGGCGTTATCATCGCAACCCCCCCTCGCCCGGGTCGCAGGCCGCGGGGCCACCCAGGGCTGGCCGATTGCCCTCTCAAGACCACCGGGGCGTCCCCGCTACCGCCTCGTCCCCACTTCGGCACGCCGGCTCCACCTCTCGCATCCTCGGAGGCCACAGAGTGTGAGCGGCACCCCAGGACCCCCGCAGCCTCGGAGAGACCCCTTTGTGTAGGGCGCTCGCGGCCGCGGGCTCCGAGGCCTGGGAAGGCCCCGCCCCGGGGCACCAAGGAGGCGGCTCGAGCCCCGCACAGCCCCGCCCGTTCCGGGGCTGCGGGAGTCTTACCGGGGAGAGCTTGCGCGGCACCAGAACCCAGACCCGAGTTACCCCCCGTGCGAGTGCCTCAGCCCCGCGGCCGATAGCCCCAGCCCGAATGGCTTCCCGGAGCCCACTGCAGCCAAGCACCTCCGATGCCGCCTCACAAAATGGCCGCCGGCCCGCTCTGCGGCTCCGCGTTCCAGGAGGGGGCGGGGCGCCGTCGACGTCACGGTGGGAGACGCAGGCGCGTTGAGGTGGAGGGGTAGGGGAAACCTCGGTCGTTGCAGGTGGTTGTGGTGAAGGGGGTCTTTTAATCTCTGGTGCTGGTGGCGTTTGCTCCCTAGCCAGGCCTGAAGCTAGTGTTTAAGGTTTGTGCACACTGCCTTAGTTCTTTGAGCGTTGTGAAAGGAGCGGAACAGTGCCTACATTGCAGACTGTCTTGGATTAAATGGACCAATATTGTAACTTTGATTAGGGACTCTGCGACAAAAGCTTGTTTTTTGGGTTTTTTTTTGTTTGTTTAACTATTGAAAATATTAGGTCTTGGGGCAGGAGAGAAGGCCCAGTTGTTAAGACCACTCTTATTGCTCTTCCAGAGGACTTGAGTTTGATGAGCCCCATTGGGAAGCTCATAACCACCTATAACTCCAGGCACTGAAGATCTGAGGCCTTCCTCTGACTCCCAGGGCTCCTGCACTCTTGTGCACATGCCTTCTCACACAGACATTAACAAAAATAAAATAATCTAATAAGTTAAACGTTATTTCAAGGGCTGGAGAGATGGCCCAGAGGTTAAGAGCACTGGCTGCTCTTCCAGAGGTCCTGAGTTCAATTCCCAGCAACCACATGGTGGCTCACAGCCATCTATAATGAGATCTGATGTACTCTTCTGGCCTGCAGGCATACATGCAGGCAGAATATTGTATACATAATAAATAAATAGCCGGGTGGTGGTGGCGCACGCCTTTAATCCCTGCACTTGGGAGACAGAGGCAGGAGGATCTCTGTGAGTTCANAATAAATAAATAAATAAATAAATACATAAATAAATACATAAATACATAAATACATAAATAAAATCTTTAAAAAATTTATTTCAACCACCAAGCGTGGTGACACACTGAATCACAGCACTTAGGAGACAAAGGCAGGATCACTATGAATTCAAGGCCAGCCTGATCTACAAAGAGTACCAGGACAGTCAGGGATATTACACAGAAAAACCCTTTCTCAAAAAAACAAAAAAAAAAATATTTCAAATTTTTTACTATGGTGGCCCAGATAATCCCCAGTGATTTGATTATACGGGTAGTCCTGGGCTGCCCCAGACCCTGTCTCAAGAATATATATATATATATGGCTAGGTGTGGTGGCCCATGCCCTTAATCACAGCACTTCGGAGGCAGAGGCAGGCCAGTGTCTGTAAATTCAATGCCATCCTAATCTACAAAGGGAGTGTCAGGGCTGTGTATTAAAATTTTTCTGGCTGGTGGTGGCGCACGCCTTTAATCCCAGCACTCGGGAGGCCGAGGCAGGCGGGTCTCTGTGAGTTCAAGGCCAGCCTGGTCTACAAGAGCTAGTTCCAAGACAGGCTCCAAAGCTACAGAGAAACCCTGTCTCAAAAAAAAAAAAAAAAAGATTTTCTTTTCTAGGGCTGGGGATCTAGCAGATGGCAGCATGCATGACTAGCATGCACAAAACTCTAGGTTTGCCACAGGCACCAAATAACTAGATGTAGTGGTGCTCCCCTGTGACTCCATCACTAGGAGGTGAGGCAGGAGAACTAGTGAGCCACTCCTGCTGCAAGGCTGATGATCAGAGGCTAATCTCTAGGAACCGTGAATCTCTAGGAACAATTCCTTCTAGCTGTCCTCTGACTGACGGGAAGGTGCACACACAAGTGCGCACACACAAAACAAGTGAAAACTTAACACTTTTCTTTCTCATGCCTGTCATCCGTTGCACAGGAAGTCTGAGGCCATCCTGGGCTACATGAGACCTTGCTTCAATACCAACAAAACTGAATGAAATTTCAGTTCTGGAATCTTTGTTTAATTTATCCATAAAATACATCTTTTTTAAAAAATAATTTATTTTTTTTATTTTTATATGCATTGATTGGTGTTTTTGCCTGAGTGTATGCCTGTGTGAAGATCCCTGGAACTGGTGTTACAAACTGTTGTGAGCTGCCATGTGGGGGCTGGGAACAGAACCTGGGTACTCTGGAAGAGCACCCAATGTTCTTAACCACTGAGCCATTTCTCCAACCACCCATAAAATATATCTTAATATTATTTGGTTACAGGAAAAAAAAAAAAAACTTCTTCTCGGATTACTATGGGTCTAGTCCTCATGAACCCTCATCACTCACCGCCCTTCTCCCTAACTGTACCCTGTGTTTTTTTCTTCTTTTTTGGGGTGGGGTGTTGAATTCTTTTGACACAGGATCTCCTGCAGTTCAGGCAGGCCTGGAACTATGCAGTCCAAGATGTTGGATCCCTTTTCCTCGAACTCCCAAGTGTTAGGGTTAAGGCCTGTATGGACACACCCAACTTTGTACTTTGTATCTTTTCTTTAAAAACTGGGGACTGGAGGCTGGAGAGATGGCTCAGATGGCACTGCCTGATCTTCCAAAGGTTCTGAGTTCAATTCCCAGAACCTCATGCCAGCTCACAACCATCTGTAATGAGATTTGGTGCCCTCTTCTGGCCTGGAGGCATGCATATAAGCAGAACACTATACATAACAAATAAATACATCTTTTAAAAAAAATGTAAACCGGGCAGTGGTGGCGCATGCCTTTAATCCCAGCACTTGGGAGGCAGAGGCAGGTGGATCTCTGTGAGTTCGAGACCAGCCTGGTCTACAAGAGCTAGTTCCAGGACAGGCTCCAAAACCACAGAGAAACCCTGTCTCGAAAAAAAATAAATAAATAATAATAATCTCAGTACTTAGGAGGCAAAGGCCTGCCCAGTCTACACAGTGAGTTTCAGAATAGCCAGAGCTACACAGAGAAGCTCAAAACACAAAACAAACAAATAAACAAACAAAAGTCCAAATTCTCACAACCCCATCAACTGTTAGGCAAAATGTGCCAGACCTGCATCAAAAATAAAGGAAATGAACCAAAACCCAGCCTTTAAATATATATATATTATATCTGTATATTTATGTGTGTGCAATGAAGCACAAGTAATAAAAACTCAGAGAAAGAAATCAGCGTTCAACCTGAAGATCCAAAAAGCAAAGTAGCCAGCCACTGGCTCTTACCTCCACCTCAGTCCAAAATGGCAATCCTGCCTCCAGGAATCTCAGAATGAGACTGTGTGTTGAGAGCTGTTTCCTCCTGTTTCATAATCCTCTCCAGAGTTGCGATAAAAGGCGTGCACCACCGTGATTAAAGGCGTGCAACGGCCAGTTTCCGTGGCAACAAGTGTGACTACTGAGATTAAAGATGTGTTTTCTCATTACCTGGTCTATAAGACTGACCAGTGTGATTGTTTTACTCTCAGATCCTAAGGCAGGAAACACACTATTAGCAGTTGAGGCTGGGGCATTTTCTTGCCCAGTGGCTTACTATTGCTACAAAGTAAACTTCATGCAGATTTTCTTCAATGCCTAGTATCTTCTCTGAAGTAGATTGGTGCTGCCAGGAGCAGACACGTCTTATTGTCATAAAAAAATAAGAACCTAGCCAGGCAGTGGTGGCGCACGCCTTTAATCCCAGCACTCGGGAGGCAGAGGCAGGCGGATCTCTGTGAGTTTGAAGCCAGCCTGGTCTACAAGAGCTAGTTCCAGGACAGGCTCTCCAAAGCTGTCTCAAAAAACCAAAATAAATAAATAAATAAAGAAAAAATAAAGACAAATCTCTCAGTTCACTGAAGGAGCTTGCCAGTTTGGCTTTTTTGGCTGGGCTGTAAGCCGAAGGGATCCTATTCTTTCCTCCTCCGCAGCGCTGGGGTGAAAGGCTTAAGCCACCACATTAGCTTTTTGACTTGGGTTCTGGGAACTAAATTCATGTCATCAAGCTTGTGGGAAAAGCCCAAGAAAGAGGACTGTTGCACTTTGGAGGCCATCCTCGTCTACAGAGCAAGATCTCCTTTTAAAAATCAGAGGAGAGCTGGGCGGTGGTGGCACGTGCCTTTAATCCCAGCAGTTGGGAGGCAGGAGGATCTCTGTGAGTACAAGACCAGCCTGGTCTACAAGAGCTAGTTCTAGGACAGGCTCCAAAGCTACAGAGAAATCCTGTCTCAATGGAGCTGGAGAGATGGCTCAGTGGTTAAGAGCATTGCCTGCTCTTCCAAAGGTCCTGAGTTCAATTTCCGGCAACCACATGGTGGCTCACAACCATCTGGTGCCCTCTTCTGGCCTGCAATATTGTATAATAAATAAATAAATAGTTTAAAAAAAAATCTCCTTTGGTCTGAGAACCTGGTCTTGGAGAACCTGAGCCCCCTGACACTTTTCCTCTCAGTGGTGCACACCTTTAATCTAGCTGGATACATACATACACACACATACATACATAGATACATACATACACACACACATACATACATACACACACACACATACACATACATAGTGAATCAGGGCCAGTGCGATGGTTTAGCAGGTAAAAAACACGAGCTGTAAAGCCTTGATCTGAGTTCAATCACAAAAACCCAGAGGAACTGACTATACAAAACTGTCCTCAAACCTCCACAAGTGAACCTTAGCTAAACACACACACTTGTATGCACACATATAGATTTATGTAAAATTTCAAAAAAGTTTATTTTGGTGTTTGAAACAGAGACTCACTGTGTAGCCCTGGCTGGCCTAGAATTCATTTTGTAAACCAAGCTGGGTTTGAACCCACCGACATCTGCCTGTCTTTGCTTCCCAATAGCTGGTATTTATTAAAGGCTTGCCCAACCACAACCCAGCTGTTTCTGTTGCTGTTGTTTTGAAACAAGGTATGGTAGGAGCCAGCCATGATAAACTAAATAGAAATAGACCACCCAAAGGAAGTTCTTTACTTCCAAACATTATCACCTGCCAGAGTAAGACAGTAGTTTAACCTGGTTACAGGAAGGATCACTAAGATTACCCGAGCAACACCCAAGAACAGAGCATCCAAAGGAAATGCCTAGCATTCCAACCACTGTAGATAGGATCACCCTCCAGCACACACTCACCAGGACACC